CCATGAGCGCTCCAGCTACACCACCTTTGCTGAGGCATGTGATGTCTACTTGAAAAAATTTGACATGACTGCAGGTGGTGGTGCTTCCAGCTCCTTGAAAAAGGATGCCTCCCAGAAGTCCTTGAAAAAGGATAGCTCCTGGAAGATAGTGGGCCATGGGAGGTATAGGAAGCAAAAGTGAGTGCGCCCCAGGGCCTTGAAAAAGGCTGCCAGCAGCATGGCCTTGAAAAAGGCCTTGCCAGCCAAAAGTCCTTGAGAAAGGACCTGCATGCATTAGCTGCAGTGCCTCTCAGACACTGCTTTTGGCACTTGTACAGTTTGAGCAGCTGTGCTGGCACCCCTCTTGTGAAATAAACACTCAGCTACAGTAGTGAAAAAGGGAATCACATGTTGGTTTAAATGTGTTTGTGTTGATGTATTTGGTTTTGTTGGTTTTGAGGGGTGGCCAGCCAAGCTACTGGACAGCTGAACTGGCCAAAAAGGCTGGTGGTGAATGAACAAGAAAAGAAATAAATATATAAAATAACAATAAATAAATATATATATATATATATTTAAATAAAATAACTAACTATTTGGAGTTATACATATATATATATGTTTGTGTTTTCAATTATACTAGAAAAGTTTAACATTTAAAACTATAGTTATCTAAAATTTCAATACAATATTACTACTATTTTGTGCATATTAAATCAATTCTACTAATCTAAAACATGTCGGCAGAGTACCACATACATTTTAAATTTGTTATTCAACTATTCTATTTACATTTGTACAAATAAACACATAACTTTGCAATTTTTAGTTGACCAAAAGTATAATTCAAGTGTTGTTCATGCATTCAATTCAGAATTTCCCACTTATTTGCCAACAATCACCCTTGAAAAATGTACAGAAACAAATTTTTAGACACTTTTGACATTTTTAGACATGTTTATACTAATTTCTATTTTTGGTAAAAAAAAAGGTACAAAAATCCTTTGTTTTTCTATTATTTTGTCAAAAGACCTTTTTTGAAAAAAGTAGGAAAATGAAAAGTGATCAAAAGTGATCAAAAGTGATCAGTTGATCACTTTTGATCACTTTTCCTTTTTTAATTTTTTCTAAAACTCTGTTTCATAAAATTTATTTGTGCTCTGCAGCCTTTTACAGCTCAAAAAAAGCAAACCAACAAGAGGCCTCAGGAGTGAAAATGAAGAGGCCAGCAGGAATTTTGAAGAACACCTTGAAAAAGGTGAGTGCCTTGAAAAAGGTACCTACCCAAAAGCCTGCCTTGAAAAAGGCAGCCAAAGGAAAGGTAAACACCAACAACTTGAAAAAGTTGGGGGAGATGTCCCTCAAGGAGAAGGTCCAAGCCATTGCTGAAGAGCACAGTGATGAGGAAGCTGGTGCTCTTGCCCTGGTTGAAACCATGACCAAGGCAGAGAAAAGCAATGCTTGGAACCAGCACATGGCTTCCTTGAGAAAGGATGGCAATGAGTCCTTGAAAAAGGATTTTGAGCAGCTGAGCAAAAATGAAAAGGGCAAAGCCACTGCCCTTTTCCTAATGCAGAAGCACAAGCCTGTGTTTGGCAGTGTTTCCAAGTCAGCATCCAAGACAAACTCCTTGAAAAAGAGAGAGAAATGGATGTCTGAGAAAGAAGCCTATGAAAAGTGGAGTGAGCATGAGCTCAAGCTTCACTTGGACAGCGGTCGAGTCCTGTGGAGGGAGTGTAGATACCTGGGGGGTCAATGACAAAGGACTATGAGAAGACCACCACAGGCCAAAGCACCAGCCACTGGCAGTATGGGCAAGAGTATGAGGTGGTGGATGAGGAGATGGAGGGGTGGGAGCAAGCTCTGGAAACAGACTTGCAAACCCTGATGCTGACAGGCCTTGAGAAAGGCAATGCTGGCCTTGAGAAAGGCAAGGGCAAAGGGAAAGGCCTTGAGAAAGGCAAAGGAAAAGGCAAAAAGCCCAAGCCAATCCCTAACAAGGGTGAAGAAGAAGACCCCCTGGAAGATCTCACCCAGGAAGAAGCCTTGAAAAAGGTCAGGAAAACCAAAGCACTGTTGCTCAACACTGTGAGCAACTTTGAGGAAGCCTTGAAAAAGGTTGAGAAGAGCCCATACTTGAGCAAGCAGAGCCTGAAAGACAAGCAGGCAATGCTCAAGTCCTTGGAAGATATGGTGCAGGCCACCAAGAAAATCCTTGAGAAAGGAGGAAAAACACCCTAGCTGGCTTGAAAAAGCACTTGCTGGATGCAGTGGCCTGCATGAAGAATGCCAAGGATGAAGCCAAAGAGTTGGTGCAGCTCAGCATGAAGGCCTTGAGCAAGGCCAGCAAATAGATCAGCTTGAAAAAGCTGAGCTATGTACAAAGTGCATGCCTTGAAAAAGGTATATGTACATAGTTTTGGACAGCAACAGGCTGAAGCTCTAGCAATGTGTGAGAAAAAGGTTGGCAGTGCATGTGCCAGGGTTCTTACTCACCTCACCTGCAGCCATTTCCCAACTGCAGCCATTTTGGATCAAGTAGGTAGGGTTGAGGGGTGGTGCCTGTAGAACTTAATTGCTTCCCTTGAAAAAGGTTTCCCACCATACCTAGAAATAGGTCACTGCCATTGAAAAAGGCATCCTGCATAGGTATCCTTGAAAAAGGATACCTTCTCTGCCAAGATGGTCAAAAGGCTGAGGGGCTGGCAGCTTGAAAAAGAAATGGAAAAGCCCCCTGGCAACCTTGAAAAAGGTACAAAGAGCCAGTTGGCCACAGCTCTTTTGAGCTTGTGGGCCCATGGCAAAGTGTCAGGAAGATGGCTGGCAGAATGCGCACTTCAAGATGGGGCACAACATGATGAGCTTGTGCTGCTGGCCAAATGTGTATCCCATGGAGTGCACCCTGGCAACATCCACAGGGATTTGATGGCAAGCTTTTGCAAAGGGATTGACTTGCCAGACCCCTTTCATCTTGAAGTGCCTTGCAAGAACCCCAAAACCTTGAAAAAGGATTCTGAGGTTGCTGCAATATATTTGCCTCATCTCATGTTTGCCAAGCTGGCTACCTACAGCAAGTTTGAGACCATCTTCCCTCTGGAGCTCTTGGAGCAATTCTGGGATCAAGCAGAGAAGACTGGAGATGATCGCCTGCAGGGAAAGTGAAGGGGTGGAAGAAGAAGACAATCCCCTTGTTCTTGCATGGGGATGGGGTGGAATATCAGAGCAGGGATTCACTCATGGTCTATTCATGGGGGTCCCTGCTCCAGCAGCTGAATTCACTCAGCTCCCATTTCATGATTGGTGGCTATCCCAAAAGCTGTACAGAAGCAAGCACCTGGGACACCATGATGAAATGGATCTGCTGGAGCTTTGCAGCCCTTGAAAAAGGGTTGCACCCAACTCATGACCCTGCAGGCAACCCCTTGAAAAAGGATTCTCCCTTCTACCTTGAAAAAGGTAAGCCCCTGTGCAATGGACTGAAAGGGGTGCTCTGGTGCATTCAAGGAGATCATGAATTTTTCTCCAATGCATTGCTTCTTCCTCATTGGGCATCACACTACCCCTGTTGGGAGTGTGATGCCCAAAAGGAGCCAAAACCAGTGAAGCTTTGGTACAAAACCCTTGAAAAAGGGAAACAAGGCTTCACTTTGGTGTCCAATGAGGAAGCCAGGCTGCACCCCAGGAGCAGTCACCCCCTCTTTTCTGGAGTGATTGGAGGGCTGACAACCAAAATGGTCAGGGGTGATTGTCTCCACATACTATTTTGCAAAGGTGTCCTAGGACATTTCCTAGGCAGCATCATGCACTACCTGTGTTGGCATGATGGCCCTGGTAAGGTTCAAGCAGTGGCGCCAGAAAAGAGATTGGGAGCCATGTTTGAAACCATCCAAAGAGAATATGTGAGGCAATCTTCACCGACCAGGGTCACCAACCTCAGGTTGAGCATGATTTGTGACCCCAAGCAACCCCATGCAAGCTTTGCCCACCTGGACCTGAAAGCTGCAGAAACCAAGCACATCCTGCATGCCTTTCTGCCAGTATGCAAGGCATTGTTGGATGAAGGGGTTGCAGAAGAGAAGGCCATGCTCCAGGCCATGCAGTGCATGTCAAAACTCATCAAGCTCTTTGATGAGGCAGATGCTTTCTTGACAGAAGCTGAATGGCATAAAGCCATGTCCCTTGAAAAAGGGTTCAGTGACTACTATGCCCTTCTGTCTGCTTGGGCCCCTGAAAAGGGGAGAAAGCTTTTCAACATAGTGATGAAATGCCATACATTTCAGCACTTGGTTGCAAACTCAAAATACCTCAACCCCAAAACCCACTGGACTTTCTCCAGTGAGGATTTTGTGGGCAAGATATCCTTGCTCACATCCAGTGTGAGCCCTGGTGTATCTTCTACAAGGTTTAGTGTCAAGGTTGCACCAAAATACCGCATCCTACTTCATTTTCTTCTCACAAGAGAAGGGATGGAGTTGGCATCGAGGCAGATTGACCCTTGAGAAAGGCCTCCTGCAACCTTGACAGGCTCAACCATCCTTGAAAAAGGATATATATATACCTTGAAAAAGGTTTGGGTTGAGGTTTTTGAAAAGTGCAATTATAAGCCTCTGGCCTGGAGCAAGCTTGAAAAAGCAAGCCTGTGAAAGCTTGAAAAAGTCAGTCCAAAGGCTCTTGAAAAAGAGGAACCTTGAAAAAGAAGTGCATCTTAATTCATGCATGAACCTTGAAAAAGGGACATGCGTTCTGGCAGATGAACCTGGCCAAAGAGCTAGATGAAGTATAGAAATGATATGGAGAAAAAGGAGAGTGCCAGCAGGGCCTGGGCAGGGTGTAGAGGGGCTGGGACCTGTTTGATTTGTTTGATAATATTGATTTTTTGATTTTTCTAGTGTGTTTTGGTATATTGATTATTTTGATTTTTCTTCCTAGTTTTTACAATTGATTTCAAAATCAAAAAAATCAATTCTCCAATATTGATTTTGAAGCTAAATTAAAAGGGTTTTGAGAATATTGATTGTAATCAATATTCGAGGCTCAGGGTTGAAAGGTGTACATGCTCTCCAGCGCCGGGAGGAAACAAGGTCTGGGGCCCACCACAGCCGCAACGGCCACTGCTGCAGTGACCTTGAAAGGTGTACATGCTCTCCAGCGCCGGGAGGAAACAAGGTCTGGGGCCCACCACAGCTGCAACGGCCACTGCTGCAGTGACCTTGAAAGGTGCAATTAAGACCGCCTTTGGATTAGCTGCAGGAGTCGCTGTGTGTGTGTGTCAACACCTTTTTCTAAGGTTTTACCTGGTAATTTTTACCGTCGGTTCCACTAGAAGGCTGGGTGCTCCTAATAGTTTCTGACCTTACTACTAGGACCAAAAGAAGCAGGGGGCCACAGACCTGCCACTGCTGCTGTGGCCAACGAAGACCGGCAGTGGCAGGTGTGAAAACGTACCTGCAAAACTGTTTAAAACTGTTTAAAGCGGCTAGTGCATAGGCGGTCTGCTAGGTTTTCTGTAAAACGGCTAATGCATAGGCGGTCTGCTATAAGTATTCAGTAAAGCGGCTACTGCATAGGCGGTCTGCTAGGTATTCAGTAAAGCGGCTAATGCATAGG